GTTTAAGTTTTATTGTATTTGATTGTTAAAACAAAACATATTTGTTGTTTGTCTCAATAAATTGTGTTAATTATAAATACAGTGGTTAAATTTAAACATTTTTTTCTATTGCTTTTTGTTTTAAAAAAGGTTATAAAAAATGTCAATAATTATCGATACCGAACGATATGAAACATTGTATCATTGATAATTTTTTTAGCTATATCGCCCAGCCCTAAAATACATAGTGAAATAAAACAATCATAACTTATGTACATTACGTACTATATCAAATGCCTGCAGAGGCGCCAACAGCCTGATTTTACACTTTACAGTGCAATCTAATCCTTGTTTAATATTGACTAAACTTTTAATTCAAATGTCCACAATCTTTAATATTTGGCCACTTCTTTATGATAGAAATACTACAGCCGCTGTCATTTCTTGAACAAGAATGTGTGGACATCAAAGCATGCAGGACATCAAACTCAGAGCGAGGGTTTAATCTTTTATTTTGAATTCGCAATGAACAGTTCGCATATTTAGAAAGATAACAGCGTATTATCCTGTGCTGGCGTAGGTTTATAAATGATTTACCTTATAACTCTGATAGAATGGTGCACATTGTTCCCAGATGAACATATCACAGCATATGCAGAAATAAATGGTTGTGTGGAGCAGCATTTACTGTGAACAGAGCCGATCTGAGATGCACGTAACCTGCACGCATAGAAATAAAGCGCATTTTAAACCCGCAGCGCATATATTTAGCCTATTTAATTGAATCGCAGCCTTTGTAAATTCACAATAGCACTATGCTTTATTATGATTTCTGTCATGCTAATAATGCTTTTCATGGACTCTAGTCCATGGAATGCGCCACTTCCATTATTTTGCCGGTTAATCGACACATGCATAATGCAATCGAGGATTATTTATAATAGAGTGCTCATATTTAAACAAGGAATCATGACAGCCCTAATGGGAATATTTTATTATGTCATCTAGTCACATCAGAATTGGTGTGAACAGGTTTTAGGAACAATGTAAATGAATCCAAATAAATGTGCTCCAATATTGTGGAATGATGCAGTGGAATATGAGATAATCCAGCGTAACTCACCATGCTCCATAATGCAGCTGGCTGGTTTGGGTCCCTTGGGTTCAAGCAGGTGAAAGGCAAATTCTGGCTTCAGCCCGTTGGGCAGCGACGCTCTTGTGCTCCCAGCAGGATGACCTTTGTCTTCTTCCGTGGAGCTCACGTCAGGAGATCCCGCTCGAGCACTGCAGCATTCCTCCTCATCGAGGGCTTCGTGACCTGCTGTGACCTCCAGTGAAGGCTGCAGCTGAGCAGCCCGTTGCTGTTCACTAGATTGTACTTGTTTCTCTCCGTTACCAACTTCCTGCAGCTGTTCTGGACATGGTTCGGCTTTTGGGCTTAGCGTCTCATCCTGGGATTGTCCTGAAACTGATGGCTCTGTTTGGATGGGACTGGACTCCTGTTTCTGCTCGGTGTGAGGACAGAACGTCTGGTCCTTCTCGCTTACATTTTGCATCTCTTGCGGTTTTTTTGTGTTTGTTTTTACAGTCAACTGTTGCTTTAAGTGAGTCTGATCGACAAAGACAGCGTCCTTCAGGCTTTCAAATGGCGTAGCAGGATCCTGTGCGATTTCTGACTGTGACTCCTTCAGGTTCTCCTGCTTATCCGCAAGTGAAGACATGGACGTGTTGAGCGGTTCAACAGGTGCTGGTGTTGTTTCTGCACGTGATGTTAACGTGCTGAGCTCAGATGCTGTTGGTTTCTGCTCAGGCGGTTGTGAACGTGCATCAAAAGGTGCTTTTATATTAGTCTGTGTGCATGTTTGGCTCTGTGCCACCCACTCGCTGACGCCTTTCGCCAATACAGTCGTCTGTTGTTGCTCCGGAGGGCTTTCCACACGTGTTACCATAAAGATTTTGTGTCCTCTGCCGGGACTAGACACCGAAAAGCAGCGGCCAGGAGATGGTGGGGCTCTGGGGACAGTGCTAGCTTCGGTCACTGTAATTCCCGCTGGAGATCCTGGTAGAGGAGGCATCGAGGGCACGGCCTTACAGGCGTTTATTGCAGTAATCGCTATGGGAGATGTGGTGTTCGCAGGAGTTTTCGGCTCCTCGGCTGCGTCCTCATCCTCTGTGTCCGAGTCCGAGTCGTCTTGTAGTGTCGGGTTTTGATCGTTGACCTCTTGGCTCTCAGATGCACTGCCCTCATCGGTGGTGTTTTCTTCCTCACTTTTCTCAGCAGATGCATCTTCATCCTCTTGAGTTTGGTCCTCCATGGCGATTTCGGCTATTGAAATCGACTGCCTCATCTTCTGTTCCGTCTCTTCCTTCTCTTTGGCCAGGATGAAGTTCCTCTTGCAGCCATTCTGAATGTCTGAAAGCAGGGCGCGCTGTGTCTCAATGAAACACTTCACCTGTGAGAGCAGCGAGAGAAAAAAGATGTGGTATAGTAATGCAATAAAAAGGTCATAGATGCATCTGTGGTATATAAATAAGTGTAGTTAGTGAAAAAGATAGACTGCATTTATTTGATCCAATATACAGTAAAAACAATAATATTTTTAAATAGTATTACAATTTAAAATAAAATTTTTCTATGTGAATATATAGTAAAATGTAATTTATTTCTGTGTATTTTCAGCATCATTACTCCAGTCTTCAGTGTCACATGATCTTCAGAAATCATTCTAATATGCTGATTTGCTGCTCAAGAAACATTTCTGATTATTATCAGTGTTGAAAACAGTTGTGCTGCTTCATATTTTTGTGGAAACTGTGATACACCTTATTTTTCATGATTATAAAAAAAAAAAAAAA